CACATTCTATGGTCACTATTCTTTAGGTTGGCCAACTATAACAGTGGTTTCCCAGCTCGTATATACTTTGAATCAATAAAAAAGATCTACCACAAATCTGACCAGAGTGACTACAGAAGTAAAAAGGGAAGGAGAGGACAGTTCGAGATAAGTTGACTTTTAAAACATAAATGTAGAACTTGGGCAATTTTAAAACCTTCAGAAAAAATTAGACATCTATTAATCGGGCCTAACAGAGAAATCCACAATGCTCACTTTCTGCCGTTTAAGTTTTGTGTATTTTGACTACTCAGAAAAGGGTGCTTATTTATCACCAATGATATTCCTAATTGTGGTGGACTGGATTATGCGTCAGATAGTGGGAAACGAGAAGACAGGGATATCCTGGATTAACGTGAAGAACCTAGAAGACCTGGATTTCGCGCGTGGATGATTTATGTTTGATGTCGCACAAAATCGAAGACTTACAAGCGAAAACCGACAAACTGGTCGAAGAAGCAGCCGGCGAATACAGAACTCCAGGTGAACATAGACAAGACGGAGGTTATGAAAATAACCAACCAACCAACCAACAACAACAATAACAGAAACAACCAGCGTCAGTCACCATCAACGGGAGGAATTTGAAAGAGGTCACTTCATTTATTTATCTAAGGAGCATTGGCTCAACTACAGGGAGCCAGAACGGGCGAGGATGTCAAATCGAGCGAGAATCAGGAAGGCGAGAAACACATTCATCAACCTGAAACCAATCTGGGAATCTTCGTCACTCAGCCAGCAACAACAACAAAATTCGGTCGGATTTTCAATAAAAACGTAAATTCAGTCAGTTCTTCTATACGGATCAGAAACTTGGCGGGCGGGTCACAAAGAATATTTCCAACAGCCTGTTGCAGACCTTCATCAACAACTGTCTCCGCTGGATCTATACTGAAGATCAGATGGCCGGGCCGGAAACAATCACCAACAAGAAACTATGGGAACAAACAAACAAAACAAGAACCAATCGCCAACCAACAAATATGCAGGAGATGGAGTGGAGATGGATCGGACACTCGCTCGCTGAGGAGGCCGCTGGGTGACATCGCGTGCGTGTCAGGCTACTGCTCGAGTGGAACCAGGCCGGAAGGGAAGCGGCGAGTCGGACGTCAGTGCAAGGGTGACATGGAGGAGATCGTATAAAGAGGAGTTGAAAGAGTATGGACTAACTAACATGGGTGGAGGTGAAAAGTACAGCAAAAGGAAGACAGAAGTGGCAAGTGCAGACGTGCAGTTGAAGCCCTATGCTCCACTAGGAACCCAAGGGAACAATAATAATATAATCTTGACTAAAACCTAATAATCAAACTATTCATATTATCACGTAACTTCTTTTTAACAACTGTCGATGACAATTCATCACCTTTGTTACTACACTAGTTTCACGTACATGCAATTTTCTTGAGCGTTTTTGTATTATGTAACTCCACCAGCTCTTTAGTTAAAATAACTATAACCAATTGCATTTTTGTTTGACAAACTTAATGTACTCATACATGCAAAGTAACTTATATATATTTGTGATTGTACACCTAAGAAAATGATTTCGCCGCAGGGAAGAGACTCTTCGCTGAGCTACGCTATTTTTGCTATTTTCATTAATGCCTTTATGTGGATTATCGATGAATTAATTTTCGTCAGTTGAATATATATTCCTGTATCTCCAATAAGTGACAGTGCTACCTCAGAGACTCGAACCTTTCACTTGTCTTTATAATTCCTGAGGTGTTACCTATTTATACATAATGAAAATAAATCTGTTTGAATCGTGTGCTATATAACAGCCGGAACAAATGGAAGAAAGTGTATTTGAGAAATGCCAATCACATCATGTGAAAATTATTTTTTTTAAAAATAATGTCTTTTAGTTCAGTTTAGTGTTTCCAAGGATCATAGGAATTATTAAAAAGACAGTTGCAGCGAAGACAATTTTGTAGATCTTTGATTGATTTCCAACCTGACTAGAGATTAATATCAGTTAGAGGACTACTGGAAACAGGAGAGTGGTTTCGTCAGCCTATTTTTGGACTGGTCAATAGTACGAATCCGCCTGGTATGAACCTAGAACCTTCCGGTTACAAGTAAATCTCTTCTAGAGTATTCAACTGCTGGTACCTGACTCAATGGCCACCACATGAATTATAACTTCTACCAATTCGTGATTTTAGCGGGACTGTCACCAGCTGCCAATATATATATATATATATATATAAACATCATTGGCAAGTATTTGTCCTCACTCGCGACCTGCTCGACCCCACTGGTGATGAATTCTCCCTCGAGCTTACTCCAGGCAACGTCATCCTGTGGTCGCCAGCCAATCACCAACTAACGAGCATCAGGTTAATTTTCAAAAGTTATTTTGTGGAGATTTAATTCATTTGAAGTTTGACCATGGACTAAAATCAGTTAGACAACTATTGAAGACCAACAGAGAGTGCTAGACAGCGATTTCATCAGCCAAATTAATAATAATAATAATAATAGTATTAACAGCTTTATTCCAAACGGTATTTGTAGTACAGGTATGGAATTTTCGGCGTGCATTGCAATATATTGCATCTAATTACTTCATAAATTTTGTAAGATTTTTAAAATAAAAAAATAAATAAAAAAAACAACGCCAAAAAAAGTAAAAGGTAAATAAAATAAAATAACAGCATAGCGTTAACATTTCAAACAACGCACCACAGGATATGAAATATAAAGTTAATATGTGATAGAAGATGTGAACAACAGTGTAATAGTAACGAGGAAAGGAAAACAAAAACTAATGGGACTATTTGTTAGAGTGCCACAGTAAGTTTATCGTGTCATACCTAACGGATTTCTCATCACTCACATAACAGCTGTGCCAGATATGGTATTGTGGAGTTTTTGTATTCGATGGTAGTCCTAGCATATAGCCTCCTATAGCTGCTTCTAGTTCTACCAAGTGAAATGCAAGGAGACAGCTGCGTATAGAGAAGATCCTCGGGGTCCGACAATATTGCATTCGCTAGTTTCTTACATGACATATATGAGGACATATATATATGACGTATATATATATATATATATGATGACATATATATATGACATAATATGTCTATCCACAATACTGTTAACCAGTTGGTTCAACGATATCCCACTTGCCCTACTAACGGCTTTTAGTGCCTGCCCTTCTCAGCAAAGCAAAGTCTTTCTTAAGTAGTCCAGGAGAGATTAATGGGGAGCAGTAAAGGAGGATGGGTAGAATACAAGAATTGACAAACTGAGAAAGCAAAGACTGCTTTATGCCAGACTGCCTAAATTTCCTAATGTAGAACGTTAAGCGAAACATCTTTCTAGTAACTAGCAAGATGTGGGAGGACCAGGAAAGATCGGTGGAAAAGCTCAGACCAAGGTACTTGACATTAGATGTATTTTCAACCTCTGTGCCGTCAATGATAGCGGGGCCATGTGAGCTGACTAGTCGCTGTAGGTCACGTTTATGTCTGAAAGTGAAATTGACTACTTAACATTTAGACGGATTAAGCTTAAGACCGTTTGAAGAGGACTTCTGACTAATTTCCGACAGAAAGTTATTTAATTTGGAACAATCTGACCGAGAGTTGACAGGCATGGAAACAGAGAGGTCATCCGCATACTTAACAAAAGTGGATATATCAGAATGAGGCAAATCATGTAAGAAAAAAGAAAACAGAAAGGGAGAAAGAACAGCACCTTGAGGAACACCAGCTAAAGTAAGTGAGGTAGTGGAGGACCTTCCATTGTAGACGGTGTACTGCTTCCTATCAGAAAAATAGGAATGCAACCACTCATTTCTCCAGCTCTCAGCCTGTGTTGCAGCAAGCTTACTTAGCAAGAGAGACCTGGGAACAGAGTCAAATGCAGATGTGTAATCGAGGAAGGCACAGCAAACGTATTTAGCTCCTTTATCTAAACTAGAGACTATACTATGATGTAGGACAACAGCGGCATCTAATGTTCACCTACTGTGTTTATAAGCAAACTGGTTGGGGTCGTTGAAAGGCTTTAAAGAGGGATCAGGATTAAGTAAAATAAGTCTTTCTATAACTTTCAAAAAAGGTCAGGTAATAGCAATGGGTCTAAACTTAACATTAGGTCCACTTGTTGATTTAGGCACTGGAACGATCTTGATATTTTTCCATGAATCGGGTATAATACTTTTGGAAAACGATTCGCTGAAAATGTCAGTTAATGGGGAACACAAGGTACTAATCGTTAGCAATTCACCTGCTTATTTAATTTCTTCCATTTTCCAACTTGTGGATGGTTTTTCATTCTTTGACCATTTCGTAATTGCTTATTGCCTGCCTATGAATTCTAAATAACACTGACGAAACAACTTCCCAACACTCTGAGATGATTTTCAATGGCTTAGTTTAGTGACTATTTCATTGTGCATAAAATAAGATTTTTTAAAAAAAAATCTTTATTGATGAATTTGTGCCTACACTTTTATTTCTCCCCTATGATTGCCTATTTTCTGTGTGCTGTGTTCACTGTGTAGACCAATCCAAATAGTAAATTATGGGCACAGAATTACACATTTCTACGCAGATTATTGGGCTAGTCCGGTTTTCTCTGAACTTTTCTTGATATTTGCTCCCCCCTTCCTTTGATTTTTTTTTAAAAAGTAAATTTTGATAAGCACACAAATTCCGTATTTTTAATTTTTCCCAATCCCCCTTTCCCCAAAATCACTTGAATGCACTTACACACATCACATCACATCACACGCAGGGCTACACACACATGCACGCACTGGTACGCACGCATAGAAGGCACATAGGAAGGCCTAACGAATACGACGGATACTACAATACACACACACACATGTATATATAGTAGAACACAATGGCACAGAATATACGCTTTCGTTTATATTGCATTTACCTAGCAAATATACATATATAGACACACATGCATGCACAAAAGGCAGGAAATAAGAATACTGGGCACTTCTTTTTGTTTCAGAATTTCCCACATTAAAACAATAGAAAGTTGAATTAGTTATAATAATTAGTATTATTATTATTATTATTATTAATACTATTGCTATTATAACTAGTATTAGATCTTTTGATCTAAAACAGACACACTTAATCAATTTTGTTCATCCCACTTAGAACACAAAACAAAACAAAACATTTTGAAGAAGAAGAAGGAATAAATCGGGAAACTGTCAGTGGATTTTGATCATTTTTGCTCTTTGCCCGTCGTCTTTGGACTGTTGTATGACTTTGAAGAGGAACAACAACAGAGGCATCACTTGTTCTACAGGAAATAATTTTTTTTTATAAACAATGATATATTTTTTTTCCTATTCCATTCTGAAGAGAAAATATCACTAATAAATTTAATAAAATTTCAAATTTTATCCACATATATTTACATTAAAAAAATTGTTCACACATTCCCAATAATACAAAATCATAATAATAATTACAAATGGCATTCCCTCAGACTGGAGCTTCAGCCTTCTACACAAGTGCAATATGCTCACAGAATTCTTCATCGCCGACAAATATCCCTTTGATGAATGAGACATCTTCTGCTGGCGATAGAGTTTCGGTAAGAAATGAGCAAATATTTATTGGTATTTGTTAAATTGCTTTTTATTTGTTTCCAATTTTTCATTGATTTACTATTATTATTGAATCGAAATATTCAGGATGTTTACTACTAATAAGGACACTTTGATGATGTCAGAAACTTAACCTTCATGTAATTTAGTTGATAGTGACGTTTGAAACGATTGGCATCTCAATAGAATGAATATTACTCACTGAAATACAGATATATCCGGATGATGAGACCAAAAACTGGATGAAACACACACACACACCTCCTGGCCTCCACTATGAGCTGCTGTAACCCCCTCCCTTTTTAACTCAAATAAATTCGAGTAATAATGGCATAAATACTCTTGAATTTATTTGTGTTGTTTTTATCATTAACAAATTGACTGAATCAGTAATGACATGTTTTAAAGGACTAGTTAGTATGGATATGGTTGGTTTTAGGCTAAATCATTTTGTGCTATCACTGAAAAATAGGATAGATTAAACATTCTTTTTTTGTCCTAGTGCTTGAACTCGACAGGTTACTAGAATGGGAATTAATGACTGGTGTATTCTAGTTCGTGATAATTAGTACCGCTGTTAGTCATTTTCATCGGTGAGCATCTATCCTGGAAACATACGGTTTTCACTGGAACTCGTTGAAATCTATGCATACACATCATTGTTTCGTGTTTCATTGAATAACCTCAATTCATCAAACATGGATTGGTAAATCTTCTTCATTTCATACAAAATGATGTCATTAGTCAGAATAATATCAACATGAGTCTGTAGAGTTCAGTGTCATTTCACTTGATAAAGTGTGTGTGTTGCATAACATATATTTAGCACAATTTCTGTTCACTCCAAAATTCCACCCTGATTTACTTAATATCACGAGATACACGTTCATACTACTGATAAATAATCATTCAGACCATGATTCATACTTTATAGGATTAATTGCCTGTTGTTCACAAGTTCAATGTTCAACCAACTTTGAAAAACTTTTACCTTATTGACTCAATCATATATACTGTTGACTAGCGGTACTTCGATTCGATTTGAGCAATATTAAACAATGCAGGGAATTATCGTGTTGTTATTCTTGCCTTTAGTTCCTAGAGGAACAAAAGACTTCAGCTATACGTCTCTCTGCCAACCTTTTCACCTCGTCTCATGTCTGCCCACATGCTTTCAGCTCCTCTTCACACGACCTCCTATTCCACATCACCCCAACATCACACTAACGACAAAATGCCGCTTCCCCATCGGGTCAATTCAAGAAATGGCCTGAAGTGTGATGACACTCACTTAACGGTTTGTTTTCTCAGAGTATGACATATCCACCTTCACTTCTTCCTGCATATTTGCTGCACAATCAGTTCCTGCTGGGTTGGTCCACTCATTCATTGCCAGAGATCAATGTTGCTGACCAACTATGGCTGGCCATCCAATCTTGAGTAAAGTACTGAGCGAAGACAGCTGTTGATGAAGGTCTGTAGTAGTGGTAGTTCGAAGTGCTCTTCATGACGCGCTGGCCAAGTCTCTGATCCGTATAGTAAGTAGTACTCACTGACTTCACATTTGAGTTGAAAATCCGTATCTTATTCTTCACGCTGACGAGTGCTGTTGATCTCCACACACACTTACTTGTCTAGCTTTCTGATCCTCGCTGCTCCGATATCCTCATCAGTTCCATCCGCCTGTAGTTGAAACGATGCTTCCCAGGTAGGTAGGTGGGTCGGTAGGTGAAGGAGGTTGCTTCTTTCAGATTTGTCCCATTTATGCTGGCTGATTGTAGTCTGTCGTTGTTTCTGTTGCTGTTGGGGTTGTTGTTGGCTAGGAATCTTCATCACCTCTGTTTTCTCCATGTCCACCTGAAGTAGTATCTTCTGTGGATGCCTCTTCTGCTTACCTGTTGCTTCTCATCACTTGTATTTCTTTCAGTCTATGGGAAATCAGACAGATATGTGTCATCGGCGAAATCCATATCTTCCAAGATTTTGTGTGTGTCCATTTTAAGCCTGTTTCTTCGTTGCTCGCTGTGTTTCTGTGTCATCATCCAGTGTATCAAGGAATAATTATAGTAGATATTTATGTGGGAATACAGTAAACCGCCCTTAGTTTCAATTTATTGTATTTCTTTGCCTTCCCAGTGGAACACAGTGCTTCAGTCCCCAAGGGTTAATGAGTCAGTGACATGGGTTTTATCTTTGTGGGATGAGGTTGTTATTCTCACTTGATTGAACATTCTCCTTTTTTTATCGGGCTTACTATTGGCTAAGTGAAGTTAAAGAGTACATGGGCGGGAGTTCGAACCCCGGATCATGTGTGCAAGCAAGGCAAGCATTCTACTTCTTCACCACCAACGAACACATTTCTCCATAAATGGATTCGAATACATTGATGAAAAAAATTAGATATCCTACGAATGATTGTTGCTTTAGCTTTCTATGAAATATTCTGCATATGACTTGATTAAATTTTCTCACAAGAATGATTTAAATGAGTTGTTTAAAACCATCTACTTGAAATACTAGCGCCTGCGTTTTAATGATTGGATGTAGTGGACAGGAAGCTCCTGCTGAGCTAGGTTTCGTGCTAGTTGGCAGTCATCAGCAAGGTACGTCTGCAATGTTGAAGGAACAACTAAATCATGCTCCTTCTAAGTTTTGACCCAGTGTCACCCCTAGTGCTAATTGCAGTCACAGACTTCACTACTAAGCTATTCGGACTCACCATCGACATCCTCCTGTAGTTCTCTAATGAATACTTTTGATTGGATACAAGATAGTATCTGCTATAATGTATTTAATTCTTGATGTTGGTGTAGTCCAAATTCTATCAGTCAATTAGATCATGTATTGTGAAGTGAAAGTTTTAAATTTTCAAAAGGAAACTATGCTGTCGAAATATGTCATTTAACTTTGAAACACGTTACACTTTGAAACTAGTACACCATTCTCAACAGTCCTCTAGTAACGATAATTTTAGTGAGAGAAAATTTTCATTTTGTCCCATTTAAGTAGTCGACCTGTCTATGGAGTTTTAAGAATACATCGAATTTTAGGTCATCAAGATACAATTTAGCCTGAATAATTAATTCTTTCCGTTGCAACCCTCAAGTCAAGTTATTATTTAATAGAGAAAGTTTTTTATTTTAAATGTTATCTGGCCTTTCGTGGGTACCTCTATTCATATATATATATATATATATATATATATATATATATATATATATATTTACACTCGAAGAATACAAGATGTGTTTGAAAAAAACAACTTCTACATTGAATGTAACTATGGCACTAGTTTGAAATGACTGTACAACATTTTCTCATTACCCTTTACACTACTGAGTTTTAAACTAGTGATCATGTGATTATCACATGTTTACATATGTGAATGATTTTATAAACCGATTGCCTTCTGTAATCCAGACAATTTGCTTTAGCATTCAACTGGAAAATGAAGCTAATTAACCTGATGATAACGTGAAGCTATTTATTTCCACATCAGTAACAATTAACTGGTTTATGTGTCTAATTCATCTAGGAAACTAGAAGTTTATTATGCTCGAATAATGGGAATAATGGAATGGGAAATTAACAAAAAAAATGTTTTACAATGTGCGCTTTTTCTCAATTTAATAGTGATAAATGCTCTATTTGAATGATACGAATTACACATTAGCGCAAGGGGAATCTACTTTTATTTTTCGTCACCTAACTTACCTCCAAGTTGGATATTGGGGCTTTATGCTTTGAAGTTCCTGTAGCAATAGTGTTGTTCTTCTTTACGGAAAGGAGGTAGGTGATGGCTAGTCTCATCTCCACCCCTACACCTCAACATTCACATTTTTGTTTTCAGCCTTACCATAAGTGGATAAATTAGACAACGGCATTAGGAGTATGTCAGCCGGAAATCGAACCCTGAAACGCTGACAGTCTGGTTGGTGAGAATTCCACTGCTTAACCACCGATGCATAAATAAGAAGTCTGTAATTGATGAAAAAAGGCATGTAGGAGGAAAGTTAACTAACCTAATTAGGAGATTTCATTGGTATACATTTAACACTGTAGTACTGTGAACCAGTGTCGTGATCCAAAAACCTTTGAGGCTTGGATCCAAGATATTATCATTTCACAAATCTGTCTGTATGATTACACAACATAGTTTGTGCACAGTTAAATCACATTTAATCTCCTAATCTTCTACGTTGTCACAGGGAGACTGTCTTAAGTATAACTAACAAGGTTAACTCATCAAAGCATGTTGTAGTGCCTTTCTGTTGAAGTTAACCCTACAGAAATCAATATTCTGGAAATATGTAGTTCAGACAGTGAAGTCATACAAACGTCAGCGTTATAAAATTGGTGATTCACAGCCTATATGAAGGCTGTGCATCGGTGCCATAGCGGTTAGGGCGCTCGCCAACCATGCACATGGTCCGGGGTTCGATCCCTGGCCGACGCACCCCTTTACCTCGCTAAGCCAGAAATAATGCTGGTAGAGAGGAAAGGTTGGGCATGAGGCTAGTGACCTCATCCTGTAAAAAATAAACACTGCTACAGAAACTTCAGGCCACTAGCTTGAAACCCTATGTTCCACTGGGGAAAGTGAAGGAAAAAATTATTAATACAGGCTATATTTTTATTTATTTTTATTTTTGATTTACAGCTTGATTCCACACTGTATTTTTTGTACAAGTATGGAATTTTCAGCATGGATATCGGTAGCCCAAATTTTGCAGGCCGACCATAGATATCAGGTGTGCGCCGGCGTGGGCTCGAACCCTGGACCATGTGCATGGTCGGTGAGAGTCCTAACCACTGTGCCACCGACGCACATATGAAGGCTATTCACTTTGATGTTAAAGAATTGTAAGCCGGTACATACGAGATATGGTTCATTGATTCAAATCCTTAACTTTCAGCCAAAAGGGTCAGGATTTGAATCTCCAGCTCCCGCCTAATTCAACTAAGTAATAGAGTAGTGATGTATCAT